ATGAATTTCTTAATTTCAGTTTATATCCTATCATATATTTACAATTTTATTCAAATTGAGAATTTTAAGTTATATTCTCAATTATAAAATTGATAAATATGATTTATTATAATTATGATTGAATTTAATCATGATTATATTTTGGTTATTTGATTGGATTTAATTTTTGATAAAAAAAAAACTATAAATTATGGTTACTTTATAGTTTTCTCATATGAATTATTGATTATACATGTGATAAATAAAGTCCAATTATTGTTCTTGGATATTTATTTAGTTATTCACATGTATATATTTGAAATTGTGAAATAATATTTATCTTTCACATGAAGGCAATTAACACATGATTTATATGTTATCATGATTATCATATGAGTTTTCTTTTGTTGATTAAAATTCAATAATTATTATGGTTATTTATTATTGAACTGCTTAGCATTAATGTTCAATAATGATTATGGTTATTCTATTATTGAACTACTTGGCATTAATGTTCAATAATTATTATGGTTATTCTATTATTGAACTGCTTAGTATTAATGTTCAATAATTATTATGGTAATTTTATTATTGAACTGCTTAGCATAAATTAAAGAAATTTAATGAATATTATCTGTAATTCATCTCCTTAAGGTTTATCTGACTTGTAGCTGCCAAAGTGGCCTTAGATGATAAACTTTTGTGATATGAATTACAATAAAGGTTTTATCATTTATAAGACATTTTGGATTGTATTTTATATTTTTGTATTGGTCCTGTAGTCACCAAAGTGACCTGGACTAATAATTTATAAAATATATTATGAATTTAGTCATAAATGATATTAAATAAAATAATATTCATAATGACAGCATCCTTCAGGATAAAGGAATTTAGTGAATATTATTTGTAATTTATCTTCCTAAGTTTTATCTGACCGGTAGTTACCAAAGTAGCCTGGGATGATAGGCTTATGAGATATGAATTACAATAAAGTTCATGTCATTCATGAGATATTTTAGACTGTATTTTATATTTTTGTATTGGTCTTGTAGCCACCAAAGTGACCTGGACCAATAATCTATAAAATACATTATGGAATTCATCCTAAATGACATTAAATAAAATAATATTCACGATGGCACATATAATTATGAGATTTAGATAATCCCAAAGGAGAATCTATTTCAAATAATTATGTGATGGGGTAGGATGATACTGTTTTGGATATTCTTGCAGTTTAGTGTTGTATACCTAAAGGTAACAACACTATTCCACAAGAATGGTATCAGTCCTCCGATTTTGAGTGAACACTAGATATGTCAATATTTCACCCAAAGGTGAAATATAGATGATATCAATAGTTCATCATATTTTGGAAACTCAAAGCATTAATGTTATATTATTACTGTGGCACTTCCTTTATTGTGTTTCTGTAAATGTCCCTATACTTTCTGAAACAAATGGCTTGAGCATATACAAGTTGTATTGAGTGAGTGAGACCTTGATCAGATTAATTGAATAGAACATAATATAATTACTGAAAGTTCTGTGAAATAAATAATTGAGGTGACTGATCAAGAAAGGCATGAAATACTCAATTTTATGATACTTAGACTTCAGTACAGTCTACAACTAGCGCATGAGAATATCTAAGGATAAATTTAAATTATCTGATAAGTCATTAGTTGACACTTTACTATGATAGTATTTGAGGAATTTAAGATTATATCCTCAAAATAAATGATAAAGCTGTAAGTTCAAGACTCATAATATTTTGAGTACTATTCAAGGAGTAGGTAACACTAAAATAAGGATGAAGCGTAATTCCATCTGAGTTTATAATTATTATATAAACTCATAAAAGAATATCTTCATAATAAAGTGTTACTTTTGTAGCAAATAAAATTATGTGAAGAAGAAATATACTATATGATTTGATTTTAAATGAAAAAAAAGGTATAATTATAACCTTTGTATGGTTCAAATCAAATATTACGGATATTATTGATGGATTAATTTGATGCTTCATCATATGTTACCAATAATAGATATTGGGATAAAACCAAAAGAGAATGAGATATTTATCAATGTAGGGAATCATCTTAAAGTGAAAGCGATATTAGTTTGTATTTATCGCTTATATCTAAAGATGATTCAATTTGATAAATCTTGAGAATCCATGTTATGTTCTTATAATTCTGGGAATTTAAGTTCTTTACCTAGAATTGTTATAATATTATTTCCCTTTTGGTGGTTGTAAACTTACTGTGATTCAATAAAATTAACCTTTGAATTCTGTATAATAGTCTATGCAGAATTAATATGAATCATAAGTTTACAATGATCATATAATTAAATATTGAAGTAAATTTTAGTTTTATAAACTCCTTGAGGTTATGTTTATCACTATATGCTTTTGTCTCATTAAAGAGAGACATTTTATCACCATATAAATAATCTGTTGAGATATGATTATATATATCTAATTCATGTAAAGTCTATGACCATTTACACTCTTGAAGTGTATATAAATGAAGTTGATAGACAATTAGATAGTAAGGTCAATATCATCATATCTGAAAAGGGTGATAAATTTTATGGTATTTATGATGAACCCAATTATGATTCTTTTGCTAGATTCTTGAAAAAAAAAAATAAGGTATATGATTTACCAGATGTGTTACAGCATAATATGATTGCTGAAAGATATCATCGTACCTTATAGATATGGTTAGGAGCATGATAGATTATTCTTTTGTACCCAAATCAATGTGAAAAGAAGCTCCAAGGACGACTATGTATATCTTGAATGGTGTTCCTAGTAAGTAAATTACATGACTTCTTTTAAGTTATGAAATGATAGGAAACATGATTTAAGATATTTACATATTTGAGATTGTCCTATGGAGATAAAGGATCTTCAACTCACATAAAAGAAAATTAGATTTAATAATTATTTCTAAATATTTTATTATCTATTCAGAAAAGTTTAAAAGGGGTACATATTTTATTGCTCTAATCATAGTACGAGGATAATTAAATCTGGTAACATAAGATTCCTATAAAATAGCAAATCAATGGGAGTGAAAATCTCGAAATTTAATTTTGATATAAAGGAGATGCAAGTTAATACTCCTTTATTATTCGAGAGATTGTTGTTACTCAAATCATTAAATGATTTGATAAAAGTGAACAACAAAATAACATTACTAAACTCCCACATTATATTGATATCATTATTAATGGTCTTGTAGAAC